AACGCAATTTGACTGGGAAGAACTGCTCAATATGGCAAAGAGAAAAAATGCATTAGAAAATCTCCAAGAGAATGGCTAAAACCCCAAAATAGCTAAAATTTAGCTATTTAAAGGGAAAACAAATACTACAACAGAAAATGTTCATAAAATATATTTTTGCTAGAGTGATGCTTTATATTTAGAATATCACTGTAGCATTATGTATAAATTGTATATAATATATTCTCTCTCTTCTTATCATTTCTCACCTCTCTTGTCCACTCTTTTTTTTTCCCTCATTTTTTATCTCTCTCCCTTTAATAGTCCCAACAAATATACAAGATATGAAAAATAATATTTAAAAGTAGTAGTTAAAATATAGAAAATCTGTTGGAGTGTGTTTTGAAAAAGTAAGTAGCTAAAATAGAAAAAGTGCTCTTTTGGATAGCTAAAATACAAAACCTTGTTGGAGATGCTCTTAGGTCATTGAATTGGTGCAATATATGAAAAACATTCAGCAGAATCCAAGTTAAGGAAAGATAACAGTATCAGCAGCAAATAAAGATTCCTTACTCAAGTATATCAAGTGCAAACGTCCGTTGGACAGAACTGACATGCAACCAAATTGCCTGAAGGATAAAAAACAATCACTCATCAGTACCAAGGGGGATAATGCACTTTCAATGGGAAGCATTAATAAACGGAAAAAATCATTAAAAGCAGCCACAAATAAACTCGAATTCAAAAGCCATCAAAGAAAAACAGGCTTCTAATTTCGGACTAGCACATACAGATCCACCTGCAGCAAGAGCTGTCAGGTCCTCAAGCAAGCGCAGCCCAAGCTTTCCACTTTTAGTTAGGGTCTCCCTCATCAATGGCTGCCCTCCAGAGATAACTTCTTGCTCCAACGACCTATTGAAGCATGGTTAGTATGGAACTCAATTGTTGACATTCCAATTTCGCAGTACACAAGTGTGCGTTGTTACTAACTGATGCACATTACCCACCAGCACACATGCAGGGAAAGAAGATAAAACAAAAATATGAACTGCCTGAATGCACAACCACACCTTCAACAGCACTCCATAAAAGGGTAAGTTCAAGAATCATGAAAACTCCAAAACAAAACACAAAAACACACATGCTAGGCATGTAGCTACCTGTTTAAATGGACATACACAGATGGAGGAAAAGTAAACTTCAGTTGTGCCAAAAAATTACATACTCTAAGCGATTAATATTGCGAGTAACGTCGTTAGTGACCGAATTCGTCCTAGAAATGTATCCTCCAGAACCAAACTTGCCAGTAGGTAATGACTCAGCACAAACCACGTGATCGAAAATCAGTGCCACTGCTTGCCTGAAGGTTGCTGCTGCAGTACTGGAGATGTTTCACATGAAAAGAGATAAGGAAGATTTGTCATAATGGTTAAAAAACAAGAATTAAAAATCAACCAGAAATAGAACAAAGATAAGGACATTGGGATAATGTAGATGTGCATTCGCGTAGGGACATCTAGGATCTAGCAATCCAATATCTTTTGCTAGCAAATTTGACTTACTTCCGCACACTATCAGAGGATCTGTTGTTCTCAAGAAGCCGGAGACAGATACCAAGAGCTTGAGCCATATCCTCCTGAAATTTATAGAACAGAAAAAATAAAAGGATCTAAGACCCCCCCCAACTACAAAAACTTAAAAAAAAAATCAAAAGAAATTGGATAAGATTGTTGCTTAGACCAAGAATGCTTGAAAACACAAGGCTCAACACTACTCTTCCTTCACGCTACACCAGATCTTATAAGTTCTAGGAAGGAGGAGAGCAAAATGGCAAGGTAGACACATACTCCAGGTGAATAGTGTGAAGTTTTAGTAAACTGATGAAGCCAAAAGCAGCAGGGAAAATTTTTTATGCAGCACTCAAGTTTGACTAGCTCTGAGATCCTTCAAATACTTGCAGGAAGCCTAATAAAACCAGTAAATTCGAGAGAAATAAAAGTGGCAGATCCCCATTTGAAAGCCAGATGTATGGCTCATAGAAAGTTGTTCAGCATTTAAAGCTTGTGATATGAATATCAATGAAGACTAAAAATCATAATTATAAATGACAGTATACTGAAGAGGAAACAGCTCGGCATCAGTTGTATACACAAATCTTAAGAACCCATCTGTCTAGTCTCTTTTTTTAAAAGGCAAAAAAATATTAAAAAGCACCAAGGGGGACAAACCGCATACAAAAGGATGTATGCACAGACAACAAAAGACAAAAACCACATAACAAGATCAAGGATAACCCATTTCGGGAAAAGAGAGCCATAAAAACCAAAAAGAGCTATATACAATCCATGCGGAGCCAAAATGCTATCCTGAGGGTGAAGCTAGCACCCCCTCTCACGTCACCTCCCCTGGCTAGGCCTATCAAAAGACAAGATATGGATCGGATTTTGCTATCTTAATTTTATCCAATTTACAATGCATTCAATCCAATCCAATCCACTTATCCTCCAACAGATAATTGAACAGGACAATTTAAATCACTTTACTCAAATAATAAACAATTCCGCTCAATTTGATCTCAAAATCACTCAATTTAACTCAATTACAGCAGATAATCAACAATTAAAGCTCAATTCCACATCAGTTTCAGCATGAAACTAATAATTTCAGTTCAATTTCATATCAGTCTCAACAAATAACCAACAACTTCAGCTCAAGTTCATCAAATCATCCAATTTCAATTTAATTTCAACTCAACTTCAGCCACGACAGTGGTGGTTAGGGGCAATGGCGATTGCCTTATTCTAATCAAGATAGCTTTTGCATCGTTTTCCAAAAGTAGGGAGGGATTGGGCTATGGCCCCCCACCCCTTATACATGGCTCCACTATGTCATACAATTTATCCACCTAAACTCCCTTACAAAAATTGCCAGAGCATCTCAAAAAAACGCAATACCTTCTCATATAATTAACTCTAAGAAAGAATCACTTTACAAACCAACCCCCTCACTATTATGCAATGCATAGGGCTTGGGATCAATGATATCAAAAGCACATTAATAAGACCACAGTTAGTAGGTGATAGAGATCGAAAAGGGATTGGATGAGCTTAAATTAAAGAATTAAATTTTATTATTTGTTTTCCTATTATTATATTAGTTAGGAAATATTTGTTTGACTAGGAGTATTGGTTAGAGTTTAATTAGGGAATTATTATAGAGTTTTAGTAGGATAGGAATTTAAGAGTTTGATTATAAAACCTCTTCTAGTATTGTAGTAGAAGAGTAGTTTTTATTTTAGTAGAAGACTTATCCTATAAATATTGATCTAATCCCACTATTTTTATTAGAGAGATTATGATTAAAAATTGAGTATTCTTAGCGGAGATTTGTGTGTTTCTTGACCGATTTCTTGCGAGAAAGTAAATCTCTTCCACCCCTCTTCTTTCTTCTTCTCTTTCTTTCTATTCCCTGATTTTTGGTCCTTCTCGTCCAACATCAATTTGGTATCAAAGCCTAACTTCGATCATTCTCGATTGTCGTTGTGTTTCCTGAGATTCGTCTGACATCCTTATATTTCAGCCCCTTGTTCCAAGCCTAATAACCCACCTGCCGGCCCCGCCAAAAATTCTGTCGTGTAACCCAATCTTTGAAATTATACAAACACCCTCAAACCTTCCAAAATTTCAAATCTGACCCTAGAGTTTTTAAAATTACACTTACACCCCCCAAAAGTTTTAGAAATTGCACTTTGACCCCAAAATTTTCTGAAATTACACTTTCACCCAGAATTTTTCTAAAATTATATTTTTTACCCCAAAGTTTCTATAATTATAATTTGGCCCTAAAGCTTTCTAAAATTACAATTTGGCCTCACAATTTCTATAATTTTTTAAGTCACTTATTCCTTCAAGATGGTTTTCAACGCCGAATTAAATGCTAAAGTGAAGGTTTTATCCAAAGTATAAGCGGATTCACAAAAAGTCATGAATGAGAGGATGGATTCACTAGAGGCGTCCATAATATCATTAGGGGAGATCATAGAAGCTTATCTCTTAGATAAGAAGGGTAAAGGAGTTGAGAAAAATGCCGATAATAGTCCATCATCTTTAGTCATCAATCCTCCACAAGTATTTGTACAAGTACCTCCACCATAAGCTCCGGTTTAACTAAATGATGAGCTAAAATTAGATACTATTGATGAGCCTAAAAATTCTAAAGGATGTTCCTACAGATGAACTTTCAAATGTGATTTTTTTTTATGGGGTTGCTACTTTTTCATCAACATCACCATCCTTTTATCTCGAACAAAGTGTAAAGATTATGAAGATTCGAGATATAGATTCCTCCTATTGTGATATCTAATATTATGTCATTGAATGGAGATCTCACTTCTATGCTATTAGGTTTAAAGATGTGTTTCAGTATCTAATGTCAATTCTCCTAGAATATTCTTGCTACAGCAATGCTTCGAAGTAGAGTTTTTTTCAGCGGGACGAATTGATAGAGATCGAAAACAGACTAGATGAGTTTAAATTGAAGAATTAAATTTTATTATTTGTTTTACTATTATTATATTAGTTAGGGAATATTTGTTTGACCAGTAGTTTTAGTTAGAGTTTGATTAGGAAATTACTATAGAATTTTAATAGGATAGTAATTTAAGAGTTTGATTATGAAACTCTTTTAGTATTTTAATAGAAGAGTAGTTTTTATTTTAGTAGAAGACTTGTCCTATAAATATTGATCTAATCCCACTATTTTTATTAGAGAGAATATAAATAAGGATTGAGTATTCTCTACGAAATTTGTGTGCTTCCACCCCTCTTCTTTCTTCTTCTCTTTCTATTCTCTGATTTCTAATCCATCCCATCCTACATCAGTAGGCCTCTCCCTATTTCATCCCCACTTCAGAACTCTCTTTGCAGCACTATTGCAGCAAACACATCAACTTCTTAACATCTCTTTCTTGCTTTAGGACTAAACCCTTCACCCTCTTTCTTAAATCCCAACTCCGTCAAACTTCAATTGTATTCAATATCCTCAAGTAGCTTCATAAAGTCTACATTATTGGGGCATGACACCACCACATTGAAACTGATCTCCCAACTATTGGCCATGTCCAAATGAGATAACTTACCTGTATAACCAGCAGCCCCCAACTTCAGGAGCAATCATTGCTAGAGGAAAACAATTTACTGGATCTAGTCCCATCAATTCCTCCTCCCCACTCTCACCTTCTTTATCCAAGGACCCAACATTGAGATTAACTCCTAATATATCTTGTAAGACAAAAACCAAAAGGATTGCATCACCCCGAACATGTGGAAGAAACAGAATTCCGAAACTTCAACTGATTCCACGCATGTCCAACAACTTCAGGTGGAAGTATTCACATATTTAATTATCATAGCATAGGCTAGTCCCTCATATTTCAGCCATAAAAAAGTTATTTCAAAAAATAAGAAAAATAATCTGCACACTTTGGCTAATATTAACACAACATAACAAGTTCAAACAATGAAGTAGTTATGTAACCATTGATCACCTCATTATCGGGTTGTAAACGAGACTGTAGCATTATCAATATCGTTTGTAGGGTCTTGAGTTGAACACTCTCATCTGCCATTTCACCATGCTAACCAAAAACAAGACAAGGTAAGATTTCTATGCAAAATTGGATAATTCACCACAAAGAAAACATCAAAACGAAAAGCATTCTCATTCCGAACACCCCAATGAAAATAGGTAAAACATGCAAAGGCAATTGTGCTTTATTAAATTATGTGATTGACAAAATGTAGCGAGAAGTATAATAGATAACAATTGAACAATGCATCAAGAACATATAGTTGACAATGATTCTCAGCTCTGCATGTATGATTGGTAGCATAAGGCCCCTGATACATGATGAGGGTGGGGATCACTTTCCTACTTTGTGGCTCCATATTTGATGTTGGGCGGTGGAAGTAAAGGCCTATTTTGGGTCAATTATTGCCAACTTTATAGATGAAAAAAATTAGGAAGATATCAAACTATATGGCAAGAAGGGGTAGGAGAGTGGTTAAGGTTCAAGGCTTCAATTATCCAAGAACTAGTAAATATTGAGGCTGTTCAAGGTACTGGGGACATTCCCTCTGGTTGTTTACGGTTCTTTTGATGCTCTGTAATTTAATTATCAAAGAAAAATGGCCTATCCTCGATCGATAAGGTTTTGCGAACAAATAACAAAAGCTAATTAAGATTTTTTGTAGGTATAAATTAAAGAAAATCAAAGAAAGAAAGAGGGAAGAAGAAGAATACGAAATTCTAGGAATCACTCCTAGAAACCCTTAGGGACCATACCTCGGGTTAGGTTTGCATCACACAAACACAAATAAGCTTCTAAAGCTATGGCAATTTCTCTCACACTGATATCTACCCGGTAGAAAAGAATAAGGGTATAGTTATAAGCTCATATAGAAACAAATTACTTTTTATTAATAACGAAAAAAGATTACACGATGGACAAGAAGTCTTTCAAATAAATCTCATACTCGAATTGGAAACTAAAAAACTTGTGTAGTTTAATACAATTAAACCAACTAAAATGACCCAAAAACAAAACAAGATTCGTAATAAGACCCATGGGTCGCTACTTTTTTCGATACGCAGTGCAATGGGGATAAACTTAGTAAATACGTTGTTTTGGGTGGGAGTTCCCTTTGTAACTCTTACACGGATTGCTTTCATTATTACACAAATTATACATAATTATATAATTGTATATACACCTTTAACTAGTATTTGTTCTATATTATTGATAAAGTTCCAAAACAAAACATAATGCAATTATGCAAGGCAACGTATCAAGTATCACCTAATGGTTGTACGAAATAAAAATAGTGGTTGCATAGTTATATTACGAAAAAAATTCAAATCACAACAAATTAAAATATAAGATTGAAGCTTACAGAAATAATGAAATAACCAGATAGGGTTGCAAACTATGATTAGGATTAAAATTCAAGTTTACTTGGAATGCGGGTTATTTGGGAGGTGAGTTACAATTTGAGGTTGGGAATTTTAGTGATCAAAATCACAAACCGAACCTAGATTGGGTCGTGCAACTCGTGTTGTGAGAATCTTGGAGTATTTACGAGTATCTATGCCTTGAACTCCTAAACCAAATTATCATATCATATGACTCTAAAAAACACTCGAAAAAAAAAATGCAAAGTTCCAAGTGAGTCTCAGTATTGATGGCGAAAATTTTCCATAGTTCGCCACACGTCACTAGCCTCATCTCGCTTTTCTAGCTGCACAACAGATCTCTCACCAGATGCATAGTTAGAGCCATTCTCGTTGTGCTTCGATACACTACTCGGAGGGACTCTTTAGGAGTAACATTCTCTGATTCGGCTTGTCTTTGGAAACTCTATTTTGATACCTTAGCGTACTACTTTTTTTTAAGTTTTCAATATCTTGTTAGCACAGTTGACCAGAACTAAAAAGGAGATAGGAGCATTTAAGTTTGATGAGATTGTGCAAGCCAGGACTCTATACATGCTCACTTTCTAACTTTCGTTGAGTCCATCTACGAAAGGAAAGTCAGGTTTATGCTTTTTTTTTTTTACTGCCATGTACAAACGTATGGTTGGAGTTCTATTGCGGTCATGGGGTGTTATCCCAAATATGCAGCAGCTCCATTGCTAGTGCAAAAGGGCTAGCTAAGACAAGGCAACTAGAGCTACAGGCAAGCAAGGATGAAGAGAAAGAATCCCTGCCTGCCCAGTAGCTAATCCAAGGAGCAAAGAAAGCAACAGTTAGCGCATCCATTTTCTCGCATGATGAAAGCTACATTCCTTAACTATCTACAAGTTGAGTAAAAACCTTAGTGTTTAATCTCCTATTGGTAGCTAAACGAAGAAAGTAACAAGCAATGGATTGAGCTAGCAAGCACCTAGTCGAGTACAAAAAGATTAACAATGTTTATGTAACCTCTCACAAAAATTGGCATGAGTGAGCTAGTTTAATCAAAACCCAGTCTTTTGAATTAATAAAAAAGAGCAATTTAGTTATTAACAAAATATAAGCTATGAGAACTTCCTAACTCAAGTAGAATAGAGAGAGTAAATAAGTAACAATACCATCCCACGGGTAAGCTTGAAGACCTCTCTTTCCTCGGAATTGAAATAGCCGCTTTACTCACTTAGCTACTTCGCTAGCAAAGCAAGAAGAGCTATCTCAGCGGCTCTAGTCCAGAAGTTCAAGGAAAAGAGTGAAAGGGACGAAGACTAATGCATAATCTAAGATAACATACGATCAGACAAGATATCCTCCGCATCTAGAACTATTTCTAACTCAAGAACGCATAATTTTGATGAGGATTGTCACCCCACCATCAATTTTAACCACATTCATAATGTTAGTCAACTAAGTAACTTTTAAAATTGAGTGGCTTTAGAGTGTCTAAGTAAAAATCGCATAACAAAGGTTTGAGTATCATAATAGGATGTTTAGCATAAACCTTCGGCATCATATTTTTTTCTTCTTAAACAAAGTCTTTTTTTCTTCTTAAAGAAAGTCTTTTTTCTCTACTAACTGATTTATACTATTCTTTCCATGCATTTCACAGTTCCATTTCGTTGATTTGGAGTGTGAAAACACAATTGAATCTTAACAGTCAAAGCGTCCAGTTTATGATTAGTTCTATAATTAATCATGGTAATACTAGCTCATCCTAAAATGAGATAGAATTTTGTCACTTGATCAACGGTAAAAATTTCAAGAATTATGGCAAACTACTGGAAAGTAGTAAAATTCTATAGTAGGATATTGTTGCTTTCCATTGTTATACTAGAACTACTCTTGATTGATGGAATAACAATAATAATTCAAAAACATGCAACTCCGTAATGTTCTCTCTGTTTAAAAACATCTTTTAACATCTCTATAACTCACAAAAAATCCAGAAGACAATAACATCACAGAATCTGTTAGTCAATGTTATTTAAGGGGCAAGGTGTTAGGGGTCTCTTGGGGCATGTCAAATCACAAAATGTGAAGCGAGGGCTTTATGAAACGAAGCGAACATTGGAAATAACAACCAGATATTTAGCATTGACAAATTTTTCAAACAAAGGATAAAAAGTACAAGTCACAACTAATCATCCAAAACTTAGTTGTGACTTATAATACAAACATGAAATACTACAAATAGTACAAGCAATCAAAATAAAGTTTGCAATGAAGTTATAATGCATAGAAACCAAAAAATAAACCATTACTTACAATCAGATAATCATAAACTAAAACGGCTTGGGGAAAAATAAAAGAAACTATAAAAACTCCCCACCTCAAAAATGGAATCAAAAAGTAGAAAAAAAGGGACAAAAAGGGCCAAAGGAAAGATTAAAAAAAATGCTGGCCTTGGAAGTGTCACAAAATATCGGGTTTGGCACTACAATTCACCAATCGTTTAAAAATAAGAGTGACAATGATACGCAACAACAAAAAAAGACGTTCAGACATACCAGGCAACCTGTGATAGACAAACAAGAAAGAGAGATAGTCAGTGAAGAAAGAACATGATAGACTAACCTAAGCCCACTGGGAAAATCTCTCACATAGTTGCAACAAAAAGTTAGGATTAAGGTAATTATGCATTGCCAAAGAATATCGACACAGTATCACAAAAAAAATGGGTGCCTCAGTGCCTTGAACTTAATCCTTAAGACATGCCTCAAATGCGCCATAGTGAAGTCACTTCGCCTAAGGCCAATTGAGGGGAAGAGGGTGTTGAAGTCACCTTAAGCCTAGGCAAAGGCCTAGGCATGACTTTTACAACACAGATCTTAGTGAGTAAACCCTCCAAGATTCCACTTTCAACTGAGATCATTATGTAAAATCCTAGTGCCATCTTCATGTCCTTGCCAGGAAAATGAGTGGCCAATGACAATCAACACCACGTCACATAGGCACCATCACAATTAAAAAAATAATTAAGAATACCTTTTCTTTTATAAGAAATAAATAATGGGGCTTGATAAGCTACTCTGAAATACTGTATAACTGTTTACACATCCCTACACAAAAACTTCATTTTCTATGAAGTCAGGGCATATATTAATATTATATCCTTTTTGATCTAGCAATCGTCATATTGTACAAAACAAATTTTGTTGAACTTACATCTTTCAGCGTAGCAAGTATCTCCTTTAAAGCTGACGGAGCAACGGCATCATGAGAAATGAGCTTTTGCAAACACGATAATCCAATTACACTCAATTTCACAGTCTTAACCTCACAAGCCATCAGAAAGATCCGTACTATATCCTCATGATGTGCAATTTCACTAGGACTTGACAACGAACGAAGCTGCAAAATAAACATCAAAACACCTATATGGCTTGAGCTTAGATGCATAAATTTTGACACTAGAAATTGAGCACAGTCTGAAACAAACCCACGAGTTCAGTAATATTTGCTTGCCATGATATTAAAACAAAATTGAATAGTTGTTAATTTCAGGCAGAAATGAGAATAGAATAATAGGTTTTTTTCTGTCCTATTGATACATTGTATCAGCAAACAAACAGTTCCATGACTCTTTTTTTTCCAAATTAAACAGCGAAGTTGAACTAAATTTAACTACCACAACGCAAATATAAAATTTTCCTCCTAATTACTACTTACATTATCTCATCAACCAAGTATCGCATCTAATTCATCTATCTGAATCATAACTTAAAATCCAACAAATTGATTAACCAAAGATTTTAGAGTTTTCAACGTTTAAATTCTTAATAGCCATAACCAAAAAAAGAAAAAAAAAACTTTAAATAATTTAACTTCACTGACCTTCAATATTGCGTGTTCCGCTCCGTCTTTGACAGCAGGGTATCTCCGTCGAGCTTCGGTGGAGAGAGCGCGTAGATCTGATTCCAACACCGCCATGAAAGCCATCTATCAACCTCTTTCTCTCTCTCTCTTTACACACTCTCTTGCTCTCTATATGCACGCGTGTACATATACATCCAGGTTCGATTCGTAATTGGATAGAACGCCAGTGGTTAAATTTATTTGAACAGAACGTTAAAGTGAGAGAAACAGAGGGAGTATTTTAGATCTGCTGTCTAGAACAACAGATCTGCTGTCGTCGAGAAGTGGTAAGCGCGCGCGCAGGTAGAGGGAGACACAGATAGAGAGTACTGAATTTGGGCTGCCCACTTAATGGATGGACGGGCTAAGGACGGGCTTACTCTGGGCTCTTGGTGGTCGTTGATTACTGTATTTCTCACATATGAATTTCAATGGGCCCCAATGAATGAGCCTGCTCAAGGTTCATGGCTGACAAAATTTTCGGTGCTTATATAAGAGGCGACAAATGGATAAGTTGGATTAGTTATGAATTAATTTAAGATGAGTTGGGTGGAAAATAAATCAAATTCATTTTCAATCCGTTTAATAAATGATTTATAATAGGTTGAATCATAAAGAGTTGGGTTAAACCTATTAACCTATAAAATAATTAAAACTCCTAATATAAATACATAAAAAATACACACACTAATACGCTAAAATATATACTAATACACCAAAAATATATGCACACTAATACACCAAAAATATACACACATACTAACACACGCAAAGCACAAACACATTTATTTTATTACTTGTGTCATGAGTCAGGTCATGGGTCACATGTCGGGGTTGTGGGTCATGGGTAGATGTCGGGTGTATTAGTGTGTGTGTGTGCGCGCGCTTTGGGTGTGGTAGTGTGTATGTGTGTTGGTGTAATAGTGTATGTGTGTATATTTTTTGATGTTTTAGTGTGTATGTATTTTTGTATATAAGTTTATTTATTTGATTATATTACTTGTGTTATTTAATAGAAAGATAAATAATCAACACAATAGGTACTTATTTGTAATCCACTTAACCCGCTTAATTAAAATAAATCTTATTACTCAACTCATTTACAACCTACATTAATCAATATAACGCTGTGTTTGGTATACGATAATACTTTTCAGTAGGAATAAAATGAACTTGAGAATTGAATGAAATGCGCATTACCATTCCATTATTTGGTAGCTATTTAGGATTAAGCGTTGGAATGGAATACTCATTCCATTTTTATGTTTGGATAAAACAATTTTTTCATTGGAATGGAATTAATTTTAACCAAAATATTCATATTAACTAAAAATAATTAATAGCAAATTTTTTTATGATTGCGATTGCCTTTAAAAGTTGTGTAAAAAATATATATAATTAGAAAAAATGATAATCCATTGAAAAAAAAATTAAACCCCTATAAATTTTAAAAAATTAGAAAACAAAATCCCTCAAAAATAGGATCACAAAAAAGATATCAAAAACAAAAACTATTCTTTTTTTTTTTGTAAGACAAGGAAACTTTTATTGATTGAATCAAGAAATAACAAGAATCAAAAAATTACAAGAATTCTAAACACATTCAATACGGCTAAAAGGCTTTAATCCTTCAAAATGCTCCAAAAGCACCTTCATTTCACCCATGGCAGCAGCTTCTTCTCCCCCTTAAAATCAGTCACAGCACAACAAAGCAATTCAGCAACATAGACACACATCAGCACAGCAGCCTCATAAAACACTCCCAGCACTGTAGTCACAAATTCTGTACCCAGGTTATAGATCCTAAAATCTTTCCTACTAAATACCAAAGCATTAAAAGTTATTACAACCAGTGCACATCAATCAAATTATTCCATGCTGGGTTTGGCAGCATTGAAGAGAGGCCCTGGAACTGGTTTTATCCAATTCCTATGGGAGAGCTTAAATTGCATGCTATCAAAGGTAGCATTAATAACTGAGTTATTAGCTTGAAGAAATAACAAGAACTACCCAATTTATATAGTATGCACATGCCCGCCCTCTGTCAGTATAACCCCAATCAAACTGTTGCCAATATTGTATACAACAAGGGTATTGTATTAGAAAACAATGCACGATGTACAGACTTGAGCAGAGGATATTGCAAACGTGTCATCATCACTCTCCCATTGATAGCAAACATGACACAAAATGCTCCATTCAGCTGCTGATAACACTTAAAAAGAGTTTTCTATTTTGTATGCCTAGAAAAAGAAAAATGTCCACAACATCAATATAAGCACCGGAACTTGCCACTCGAAGTCCACCACAATGACCCTGCCTCAAACTCCTATTTACTGATACATTCAACAGCAAAGTGGCAACACTTCTCCGCGTGGAAAAGAGAAACTCTCCGACAGCATGTCTCTACGACATCGGAGCTCGTGGAAGATGTTTGAAGTGTATGGACCATATGGACATAATTTAATTACTGTGTAGACACATCCAAAGATGAGTAAACAAAGAATTAGCTTTGTTGAGACAATTGTTGAGGGGAATTGGATTCATCCTGGCAGTCATACAGTAAAGCAGTTTGTTATTGAAAATGCATTATCAAATACCTGAATTGAAAATACATCTTCAATTGACCAAATATCTGTATTCAGTCCAAAATATTATTTTTTTCCTGTCCCCTCGTTTCTCAGCAACCAAACAGACCGAAAACTGAGAATAAACATCCATCCCAAGCTATAAGTTCATACAAACCCCAAATTACTCATAGTGCATTACAGCATGGGACCGAAAAAAAAACCTACCAAACAAAATATAAGTTAAGATAGGGGTTCTCCAATGAAATAAATCATGACAAGAAGAAAGCCTATTCTATTTATAACCATTCGATACTGTCAACATGACACATTGGAACTTCCCACAATTTTATTATGGAGTGAAGATACTCAACTTCTAACATCTTAAGAATTGTAGTAACATCGTATTAGTCCACTAATTTAGCTAAATACTCAACTTTTTTCACTTGGGACTATCATCGAACAGGTTTCTGACATTACCGAGTCCACTAATTTAGCTTTGTTACCCAATAGATTTCCAAACAAAGTCAACTGTATAAGCTCAAAAAGCTAATGCAACTGTATACGCACAACAATTACCCATTGATCAAGACAACAGGAACACATAGCAATGCCACCAGAGATAAGTTTCCGAGGAGTGAGAAAGAGACCTTGGGGAAGATTCGCTGCAGAGATTAGAGACCCAAGGCAAAAATATAGGGTTTGGCTGGGGACTTTCGATTCAGTTGAAGATGCAGCTCGAGCCTACGACGCCGCTGCTCTTTCGCTTCGGGGACCCAAGGCCAAGATCAACTTTCCATCAACCACTCCTTCAAATCCCTACTATCCATTTCATCAGAACCCTAACGATCGCTTTGTCAATCAGCGGTTGTATCCTCAGGAGCACCAGATTATCGCCCAGAGGACCACTCTTAGCAGTTTGACCGATTCTATTGAGTCGTTCAGTGGGCCTCGGCGGCGTAAGACGACTGATTTGCCATCGCGAAAACACCCTCGGCTGCCGCCGGTGCTGCCGGATGAAAGAAGGGGTCGAATGGCATGGGTTCGGTAGAGAAGAGTTGAGAGGTGGGCAGAGGAGTGGAGGAGAGAAGAGAGATTTGGGGAGGGAGGTGCAAGTCGACGAGACTGGGATCGGGAGGAGTCGGGTTTAGTGGTTATAAATTTGGCTTCATTACCGAGTGATTGAGAATTGGAAATACCATGTTTTAATTGGTAACGAGTAATCCCAGATTTTGGTGGATTAGTTATTCCTTTGGAATTAATACAGACCAAACACATTACTAAGTAATATTCATTTCATTCCCTTGGTCTAATACTACAAATCAAACACAGCGTAAATACACATCTCATTATTTATGAGCAATTTGGATGAGTAAATGAATAATAAATTAAAATTATCACCTCTACTTATAAGGCACCAGGTAACAATGACATGTGTTGTTTACACCCAATAAAAAATTCTCACAACATTTTATTATCGAATATACAGATTGATTTTTTTAAAATAAAAAAGGAAAAATTTCCAAAGGGTACACTTTCTAGAATTTATTTATCTTAAAATTCACAACACATATTTTTTCGTTATTAAGTCCTCGTACTCCTAAATATTTGGTGATCGGGTACACATTTTAATTTTATATATTTTTGTATTACGTAATTACCCTTAACGTAATTCAAGCAATATTTTGACAATTTTTTTATTCTGTTTTATTAGATAAGAGGATTCATAAATTAAGGAATTAATTAACCGTTTGAATTTTGAAAGGATTAATTAATGTAATTTATGCAAGATTTTGCCAACCAACGTTTTTTGTATTCTCCAATCCGCCGTCGATGAATTCTATCTTGGGAAATCAGCCACCAAATCAAACATGATTTTTGAAGACCTAATAAGTTCTAATCATTTTTTTGTTGTTGTTGCATAGAGAATAACTTTTTTTTTTTTACTAGTTGATGATTTTTTTTTTTAATTATGGTTTTTGTTATTATTATTTATTTTGAATTAAACTATAAGTGTGCTTCAAATTTAGAACTTGTTTAAGAATTTTTTGTTTTTGGGTATTAATTTAATCTTATCCACAAACAAATTGATGAACTAACAATACTTTTACTGCTTATAACCAAATTAACATTTTGAACTTCAACTATGCAACAATCAAGAAGTCATGAAGTATCACTGCATGAGAGTTAAACACACAAATTGAATTCTGCATGGCACAATAAAAATCAAAATGATGGGTATTTTAAAAAAAGAGAAATGTATGTCAATTAAATTTATCAATATCTTAATTGTGTTGATGTAAGAGGGAGAGAGAGAGAGAGAATTGTATAAGTAATTTTTAGAAATTAATTTTATTTAATTTCCAAAATTAGTCATGGAATTAAATTTAAAGGCAATTTTGCTGTAAATTAAGGACATAAAAGAAGATAAAAATAAATCTCTAACGGGAACTTATGTTAAAATTAAGCCCTTTAAGAATCCAAAAGTTAACACTGCAAACCCTTCTCAAATTAATATCCCACCAATAATATTAAATTGTCGATAAATGACCTAGAAAAACTTTACATTTTATGGCCAACAAAGTCCAAACCCTTAACACATTCCCTAAAGAAATCTCAAAAACCTAATCCTACTGCAACCCATTTTTTTTCAGTAGGTAATTGACATTCTTTTTTTGAAAACAATTGACATTCTTTCAATTGCTACTATAAGCACCTCTATTCACTAGTAATCTAACGTACAATTGGCTACTTATTTGTGTGCTTTTTTTTTGTTTGTTTTTTTTCCCAGTTTTACAAAGCCATCTAAAGACACAATTGCTAGGTGGCCTAAAGCAAAACGTGTAATGCCCCAAAATTCATCTTGGATGACATTATTATCTTAAACTATTCACATCATGAGAGCAACTACTAAAATTCATAAGTAAAAAAAATTTCATTCATCATACATAATATCTACAACTTCATCCAAAAGAATATATCAAGCCATGACAATTATATCCAAAAGAATAAGCCCAACTACGACACTTACATCCCAAAAATTAACTATTATCTTGCTACGGAATAAGAAAACATTAACATAAACATTATCTCAAAATAAACCTTCTAGTCTAGGACATAAAAAGAATAGTTTAAGACATTCCCCTTCGGGTCCACATGCCCATCAAGTGGAGCTTCCCAAGCTACCTGCTCGTCAAGTTTGAGCTCCTTCTCTAAATGAAAATCTGAAAAGAGTGTTGTTTGTAGGGGTTGAGCACTAAGCTCTGTAGAAAAATCCTCTCAAATCTCAACAAAGTTTAAAAAAAACAATAAAAAATGGCAAATCTTTTTCAAAAAATAGCATATATAGATTTTGAGAATAAAATCATGATAGTTGTAATGATCTTAAGTGTACGAAATACAGTAAATCAATGACAGGAATAAACTTGTAAGAGATTAAAATGATTAATAAATAACTCAGTAATATCATTCCATATTCTCATATATGTTGGTTCATCCTCATTGTCATATATGTTGGTTGCTTCTCAGGAATCTACACAACAATTCTACCTCGTTCACCCATCATAACCATACAATCACAAACATTTTAGGAAGGGTATACTGTTTTCCACGGCATTGAAGAATCCTTCCTAAGAAAGGTATACCATCCATCATCCTTGAACTTACGTGAACAATAGTGGTTTCTCTCACAAACAACAATCCACTACAAGTGTTAGGAAACCATCTCACCCCCACTGGGATAGACTCTACAGCTGCTCTCGAAGGCAATTCAAGTCCGTCACAACAAACCATACAAGAGATGAAACCAAAATATTCTCAACTACAATATTAACCAATCACAATTTCTATTATCAATTCAAGTATCACAATTTTCCAATTCTCAATATACTACGGTAATAGGGACTTAAATTATGCAAGAGATCATCTCAAGAGACCTTCATAATTTGGATATTCAAAATTCTAGGGTTTTGCCAAAAATTCCAATTTCTTGGAACAAGAACAAACATTTAGATAAAAGCATGATTTAATCAAGCATAAGAATTTAGAAATCTATAATCACTATGAATTTCACCACAGAACATGTATTTTGGAAAAGTTAAGGTTTTGGAAATTCAAGAACAAATACTCCTTGAACCTATGTTCCAATGATAAAGAAATCAAGAACTCATATATATATATATATCATATATATTATTAAGAATATTGAAAACATACATAATTATACCCTAAGTCTCAATGAAAGGACTTGAGAAGAATCCCCTACCTTCTTCCTTAATTTTGTGTGAAGAACTTGAGATTTTGATCCACTTTAATGTGAAAATCCTATTTGATCTTGTGTTTTTCTCCTTCTTTCTTCCTCTCTAAGACTTTCTAGGGTTAGAAATGTTGAAATAGGGCTAATGGAGGTGGCCTTACGTATTTATAGGGTGAGAAAAGAGTGCAATCAATGTAAATCAGATGTTCTGATTCGCTGCTCACATTCGAACGTCATTTGGCGTTCGAACATCACTTGCTCTCAGTACTTTTTGTTTTTACATCAGACAAGAGTACTCGAATGAATTATCGTTCGAACGGACTCCCTGTTTTTGTTGAAACTTCGAGTGATGTTTTGGCTCATTTAAAGGTCAATTTGGACAATTTTTGTGAAATACACTTTTGTAGTCCTGAAAGTCTATTATCTACTATAAAAATTTCAGCTCAAATAGACATTAGGATAAAAAGTTATAGTCGAAATACTAAGGCAATGTCAAAATTCTTTCTACCCAAATTCTATCTACAATGTGCTACTTCCTAACTTTATTACACCCTATATCACCTCTCTCAATGTTTCTCGATCTTACGGATTCAATGAAAATCTTATTTTGACCTAAAAATCTTTTGAACTTACATAACAACCCCTTCCAAGCTTAAACACCTTCGAAACTTAAATTTAACAATCAATTTGTCTACCAAATATTTATTTCTATTGTTATAATCTATGTGGTTCATTCTTACATCATTACATATATTAGAATTACTAAACAATTATATCATTATATTAATATAAACTTATGGGGGTTTATAAAACGACAAGCCTTAGCGCACGAATTTGATAAACACAGTCCTTGGCGCCAAACCATTTACCTGCACCAAGCAAAGAATGTCTAGCTAAATTGTTTAACCATATAGCCCCTAATTATGTACTCGTATTTAATAAGCATTAACCTCCATGGCTCTCTCTTTTTCTTTTTTTTTTTCTCTCTCTCTCTCTCGATAATGCATAACTAATTGTCCAATGCAAACATGCACTTGCAAGCACTCGAGTTGAAGTGCAACCTCAAAAGATTATTTTTCATACAATTGTTGTAGTTTTTGCCAAATATTAATAAATCCCTGAAGCCCATGTTGCCTAAGTTTTTTTTTGCTAGTTCAAAAAGGGGTGGGGGTAAAGAAGAGCGTCCAACAACCACCCCGATAAGCCCTCACCGGTGGGATCATATGTAAAATCCGGGTAAATTTAAACTTTTTATAACAAGGGCAAAATGATAATTTGTCACTACGATACGGGTTGTAAACATGAATTTTTCTAGATCTTGGATAACGAAACGAACCTCACTGTCATATTAGTCTCGCAAAATCTAGTTACCCCTGTCAAATTCATCGAATTTTGAAATAGTCAAATTTTTTACGTTTTACGAGGCGGTCGAGTCTCGGGTGACCCAAAAATAGAATTTTCAATAAAATTTTAAAAGATGGGAAGTAATTTAAGTCAAATTAAAATAAAAATATTTGAACTTGAACCGAGACAAAATTTAATCGTTTCGGGACAAAAATAGACTTGGGATAAAGAGGGTCGTGTGGCATAATATGGGCCAAGTATTCTAAGACTATAAAAATGGGGAAAATCTGATTTCTTGCTCCATTTTTTGTTCAGCCGGTTAGCCGATAGAGAAGAGAGGAAAAAGAGAGAAAGAACTCTGCCTTCTCTCTACGATCTACAAGACTCTAGAGGTCAAATCCACACGAATCAAGAATTAAAGTTGCTCCTCTCGTCGAGGGCCATGCGTCTATACCCAAAACAACGGGTTTCACCGAAGATTCCAAAGGCGGGATTTGGAAAATCAAAATTTTTGGACTTGGAGGATATTCTTGAAAGTTCTACCATCGATTTTAGGCTTCAAGAGGTAGGGTTCCTTCCTACTCGAGTTTATTTTACAACTTA